TGGGCTAGAATTCCTGTATGATGACTTCTTATGGATGAGAGATGAGAGGTACTCACTGACATGGTGACAAAGCTGAAAGAAGGGAAATGACTGGCTCATCTCATTCTTGCTGTTTGACCTGTGGATCATGTCACTCACTACAACAGACATGCCATGGCACTCCATAATACATGTGTAACAGTAAACTTTATGTGCATGTACATGTATACACATACACACATATTTTGGACAAGTCACTATAAAGTTTGTATATAATAAACAAAAATGATATATATTACTTTTCAAAACACAAATTTTTTATAAAAGGGAATTTTAGAAGAAATGTCAATATATACAATAAAAATAAAACAAAACAAAAATACTGGGCTACTTTGGCTAGAGCAAGGTAGAGTTTAAGAAAGACCATTTCTTTCTAACCAATGAGACAGCTGGTTAAAGCATACTGCAGGTCATGGGCTGGGCCAAAACCACTGCGTCTAGTACAGCTGGGTGATTTTGCAAAGGTCAGTCACAAAACTGTTTCCTCCACTAAATAGGCCCATAAGAAAATTTCATAATAATGCAACTGAGTATAAAGATAAAAGTAACATTTCCTCTCCTTTAAAAATAACTAATAAAATAAAAACACTATGCTATATAAAATGACATTATTTTTAACCTCACAGTCTTAATTTGACATATGGAAAAAGTAGTTTTCCTTAAAGTGCCTGTATCTTAAAGACTTAATTTTGTCCATAAAAACCTTATCCAAAATATAAGAGGAGGAATGGATGTGGTAGATGTAGATATTATTTTTCTACCAAACATGTATCTTCTACCTGAATGACCAATTTAAATATTTTGCACAAAAATCTTATTACAGAATATTCAGATAGAGAAACATGCAAACAGAATTGATCTGTTACAGTAACATCTATAAAGGCAAACTCTGATGGAGTGAATGGAATTTGTTTTAGACAAACCGTTCATCTCTGCTCTGAAAACGTCTCCCTGTTTATGGAAAGACTGCTTTAATCCATGCAGTTGATACTAGCAAAATACAAATGACATTTTCTCTTCTTCAAAAACCATGATTAAATTTCTAAATTTAATAAATAGACTCTTTAATAATTTGAAATTCTATCAAATATTTCATCATTGCAGTCTCAGTCTTTCTTCTTTTCCAATACATCCTTAGGCTCTTGAGCAGAGGGCACCAGAGATCCTCCGGCACTCGGTTCCTGCTGCTCTCTGCTCTCTTCTCTCTGTTCTTGGCTTTCCACTTCACTTTTAGACACTTCATATCTCTCTTCTATATAACCTCCATCTGTGTCAGCTGTGTAGATTCCATAGCACATGATACTGATGACACCCAGTGGCAGCCCAAAGAGAAAGCAGCCCATAAGTGGTGAGCTCTTGAATATAGACTGTGGAGAGAGAATTCAAACTCAGTTCCCCTCGGGTGTAATTCTGATATATAAGAAGTATAAAATAAATTTAAAACCACTACAGACTTTTGCATATTCAGCTTTCTTAGTTCTGATAAATAAATGGTGATAGCTGGGCAATTGCCTACCATATTGCAGACACTGTAAGAGAAATTCTGTATCTGTACATGTGAATGTATGATGGCAGACCAGCTGTGGGCAGCAGAACAGTATCTTTCAAATCTTTCAAAACATTTTTTTGAAAGATACTTATTTCTCTCACATTACCTGCAGAGGCCTCTTTAAGATGGCTACTATGTGCCCAACAGCTTTACAGCTATTTGCTTCTGTAGAAGCACGGGTTCCTTACCATGAAGAGTGTATACATAGTCTCTCCACATGGCATTTTTAATATTTGTTACTCATTTGTTTAGTAGAAAAGTCTCAGTAATTTCCTAATTTCCCTTAGTTTATATGCTATCTTCTCAGCTTCAATAAAAGCAAAAATAATTTTACTGAATAGGTATTCCTGCTATAATACATTTTATGTGTTGTGTCTGTAGCTCCTGAGAATGCTATAGGTAAGTTCAGAAGACAGAAAGATCATTTTGGATTGAGATAACAAGGAAGACTTCACACAGTAAGGGCCTATTTTGATATACACACACAGACATATATATATTATATATAATTATATATATATAAAATTATAAATAATATATGTAAGTATATATATAAGTATGTATGTGTGTCTATCTTTCTATCTATATAGATGAGGTTAATATTTAAAGAAGAGTGAGGCAGAATAATGTATAGCATAAACACTAGCAAAGCAAGTAGTTCCAGGAAACCTTATGCAATATGCAAAAACCAGTAAGGAAAATATTTTAGATGAACAGAGTATTCTGATGTGCATCACCAGAAAAGGGAAAATGACCAAAACTGATCACACACAATGTGCTAAGGGCCCAGGCTATCTTGAGATAAACAGGAAAATAAAAAAAAAAAAATGTGATAAGTAAATTGAATGATCCTGTTTAAGTTAAAGATTACTCAATTTTACTTCTCACCAAAAAGGAAGACAAGCTTTATTTTCATGTTTGCTTTGGTCCATAATAAGTGAAAATACCCATGAAGAAGCTCATGATAGATAATGGAACTAAGTTGGCTCAAACAAATTAAAGTGCCTCTGCTATCACGGTGATTGGGAGTTGAAACAGGGAAAGAGAACATTTCCTTAGAATATTTTTGATATGTTGTAAGAACTTTTGTAAATACCTATGTACCCCCACCCAGCACAACAACAACAACAACAATAAAAACAATAATATTAATAAAAGGAATAATAAAAAGAATATAGTTTCAAGCAAGAAGGCACAGGTTCAAGAACTGAATGGAATCATTAGCACAGCAGCCAGGGAAAAGAAAATGCCAGAAAAGAGATGCTGTAAAGACATCAGAGATGTAATAATTAGCCTGCAATCAGTGAGGCTGAGTGGTTTCAGACAGGGAAAAGAAGAGGAAAGTAGAATGGCAGAGAAAATAAGGTGAGTGTAGACAGTGGAGGGAATATAGCAGCAAAGTAACTAGGAAGGGAAGACAAAAGTACAATCAGGGAAAAGTTACTTATTATTTTTATATTATACTTACCTATGTAACAACTACAAATAAAAACTGGGATAAACAAATGAAAGAATACATGGCTTGAGAGGCTTGACCCACCACATTTCAATTCTACATTTAAAGTCTGCTTTTTAAACAAAGAAGGAGAAGACAAAAAAATATATATAAAGGAGGGAAGGAAAGGGCAGAGGAAAGACAGAAGGAATTAGAATCTCTGTAAATGATCTTACATATTTAGCAACTGGGCAAAGTTTCGAATTTATAGGGATGTTTAAAGTTTTAAGATCAAAAATATTACTTCAACAACTGCAAAAAAGGAAAATGATGCAAGACACATCATTTTCTTCAACAAAAGTGACCAATCAGCAGAAGATAACACTTAGTGGAACTAAAAAATTCGTATTATCTATACCTTCATCAAATTTCAGAAATTAAGTAAAACCTTTCCATGATAGGTTGAAATAATAAAACTGTATATTAGCAACTTTGAATAGAGAAATTTCTACCTATGAATATGTTTTCTTAATGCAAATACTGACTAAACTCATATCCCGCAAATTAAAGACATACGTTGATCCAGTCCTTCAAAATACCATTAGACACAAACAGCTACTACTTTAACTATCAATGACACTAAAAAGTCAGAACTTACCACAATAGTAGATTTGGCATCAAATACTATTCTTTTCAATCTTTGCAAAATGCTATCACCTCCTTGGGCCTTCAATTCAACAGGAAAAAATATTTAATCACTATCACTTTACTTTTCTGTTATCTAATCAAATAATTACACGTCAAAAGGTTAACTTAAAAATATTATATAAATCACCCTGAAAAACCACGAGTTTGACATTTACTGTTTTTTTCTGATAGTCATTCTAAATCCTTGTGTTAACACACCCTAATTGTGCAGTGAAAAAAAGCATTCTCTCCTATTCATACCCCATGCCAGCTTGGTTGGAGCTGGCCCACCTCTGTGTCCAGGACTGCCCAGGTTTTGATTTTAGCTGGTACCAACTGCTAATGTAGAACTGCAGGAGACCTTTGCTACCACATAGAGAAAGTCTCCCAAAGATGAAACTCAACAAGAAGTGCAGAAAGGCAGAGAGGAAAATTACTGATGGAATCAATCAAATCCCTGCATTCAGCCACCCCAGCAGTCTGGCTCACTCCTTAAATTCCTAAGCTGCAGAACTAATAACAGCTGTTAATTACACAGTTTAAATATGCTTTCACTAAATTACAAAAAGAAGGGCTTTTCACTCGTACAGATTAGTTTCATTTTAACCAAAGTATCATTTCCACTGATATAAAATTCCCAGTATGCGATTAGGAGTGTTTCTCAAACTTCTTGATTTTAATTCAAGGTACATAACACTCATTAAGTCTTTCAAATAAAGTGTGTGTAAAGCAGAAACAAAATTCTCACAAAATAGTAGTTAAACTTTTTGAAAGCAATGAAGATTCTTATTTCCTTATTTTATTTTGGTCTACTGAATTATGATGTGTGCTGGTTCCAACCTGATTGTGATCTGAGAACTCATGACATTTTAACATGAGTTTCAACACAATTTGAAATAAGATTTAGAGAAAATAAATACAAAAGTCTATTGTTTTACTTATTTTTGAGAAATATTTTTTAAGATTATGTTTAGAATGCTCTAGTGTGGCTCTGAGTCTCAAAATTCTCTAGGAAATTGTGGTCTTTTCAAACCGACCAACTTTTAGAGAATCAGTTCTGATAACAATTCAATTGTCCCTTTGGAATCAGAAAAGTAGACTAAGAGTGAGGAAAGTACACTACAGAAATTCCCAAACAAAATGTAGGCCTCTTAGCATTCTCAGCCCAATCTGAAATGTCTGGGAGAATGAGATTGCATGTGATACAGAGAAAAAAATGCACGGAAGCCCATTCCCTCTCACCCCTCACGCCCAAGTGATGGCTAACTATCCTTTTCAGAATCAGAAGAAGTAACTAGTTTCTATTCCTCCTTCTCCCCTCCAACCCTCTGAAAATGGAACTGAACCACTTACTTCTACTGTGCCATCCAAAATGCTATTAATGAACTGGACCATGTCTTTGGCGTCCTTAATCCGTCTATCTAGCAAAAAGTATTGTTGGTTTGAAGTATTCAGTACAACTACAGTTGGCACTGTCAATTCACTGAAAATATAAAAACCAAAGAAATCAAAATATACATTAAACATGGAGATACCAAATATTCTGGTACTTATTTGTATCTCAGTAACCATAATTATAAAAACAGAAGTGTATTAAATGACTTTGCCTCCCTTTACCTACAAATCAGCATCAATTTTAAAGCTGATTAAATAAAGATTATATGATAAACATAACAAACCACATAATGATGGCTGAGAAGTCACAATTAAACTTAAATAGGTTATGTATTTATTTGTTTATTTTAGTTTATTTATGGAGTAGTGGAATTTTAACTCAGGACCTCATGCTTGCTAGGCAGGCATTTTACTATTTAAGTCACACCCCAAGAAGGGTGGGGTCATATGTTTTTGCCCAGGGTCAGCCTTGGACAATGATCCTCTTACTTATGGGGAATCTGCACAGCTGGGACCACAGGCACATGCCACCATGCCTGGCTTATTTAGTGAGATGGTGTCTTGTTAATTTGCCAAGGCTGGCCTTAAACCACCATCTTCCCAAACTCTTCCTCCCATGTAGCTGTGATTACAGAAGTGACACAACGTGCCCAGTCAACAACAAAAGTTATGAGGTGTGAATTATCAGTTTCTATATAATATTACACATAAAACCCCACCTCAGTTAGATGGTATGCAGGAAATCAGGAAAAAGCATGGACAGCAGGGTCATACTGTTTGTGTTTAAATATCTGAGTGTTCTCTTAAAAGTTGCAGATGTGCTTGGCTCAGTGGCTTGCACATGTGATCACAACTATGTGGGAGGCTGAGATCAGGAGGACTGTGGTTATAGGCCAGGCAAAAAAGTTTGTGTGACTCCATCTAAAAGAAAAAAAGTTGGGCATGGTTGGCGCACACCTGTCACCCCAGTGATGGTGGGAAGTTTAAAACAGGAGGGTCATGGTCCATGCCACCCTGGGCAAAAAGTGAAACTTTTCTCCAAAATAACCAGAGCAAAAAAGGATGGAGGTGCTTCTCAAGAAGAGAGTGTCTGCCTGCCAAGCAAGTCTTGAGTTCAAACCCCAGTAACCGCCAAAACAAATCAAACCACTCAGCAAGTTTCAAATACAGAATTTAGAATTTTTCAACAGGAGAATGTTTACATGAGAATATACCAACTGTTTTTCTGTTTCAGCCCTTTAACTCTTCTGCCCATTTCACAGAAAGAGAAAATTAAAAACTGTTGCAATTACAGCAAAATCACTCAGTACTTTACTTACTCCATCAGCAAGGTATTTATGTAGCCATTTCCATCCATATGGCCAAACTGAAAATCCCTAACAGACAGTGACAACAAAGGAGAGGGGAGGGAACAAGAGTAAGCTTTAAAAAAGTAAACAAGAGAACAAAGTGAACTTTATAGCAAATGCCTTACATGTAAATCATCACGATATATAGAAAAGTACAAAATCTACTGGCTTTTGAGATCCAAAAGCCAATGAATATTAGTACGAAATTTTAACAAGACACAGCTACTTCACTGATACAAGTTTTAAAAGCAGGGAAGTAAAAGTTTTCTACCTGAAATATGTTTACAAAAAACCTCCTGTTTACTATAAAACAGAATTACTCAGAAGATGTCACCTACTGTGTACCATGACAACTGCACAATGACCTTTTACTAGAAGATGTGGAAGAAAATAATAACTAACAAATTTATACTACTATCTTTCATGGCAGAAAATAGAATGATTTGGGATACAATAAAATTATGTCTGATGTCATTTTATACTCAGTTATTCTTTGAATTCTTATTATACTGATCTCTGACTTCTGATTGCTCACTTAATCTCAAATTTATGAATATATGTACATATTTTCTTCACATAAAACTTGTCTCAAATACTATCAGGAAGCAGGTATAGTACAAATCGTACATAAAACAGAGCGTTTTTTTCCTCCAGCTCATATGACAGACCATCAGTGAATTTCAAGATCCAGACAGGTAAGCTGAAATTCAACAGGCTATCGTTTACATCAGTTCCTGATTCACCTTTGAAAGTATGCAGTGCAGACTGAGGACTCCTTATCTGAAAGGCTTGGAACCAGAAGTGTTTCAGATTTGACTTTTTAAGGTGGGGGGTGGGGGCACCTACATGTACACACAAAATTCATTTCTGTTTCACATATACCTCATACACACAGCATGAAGGAAATTTCATACGACAGTTTAAAGGAGCACTCGTTCTGACTGCTACCTGTCACCACGAGATCAGGAATTTTCCATTCATCCGGTCATATCAGAGCCCAAACGTTGCAGGTCTTAGAGCAGTCTGAATTTCAGATTTTCAGGTTAGGATGCTCACCCTATGCTATGCTTGCTTTACTACAACACACAAATAAAAATAAAGGAATCTTCCAGAAAGCAAGCACATACCTATGGAAATGGTCTCTATGATCTCTAGCAACTTCCTGAATAATTGACTTTAATCTGCAGAATAAAAAGCATATAAATACATCAACTTTTTCTTTGAAAAGTGTATTATACTTATTCAAACACAACATCTGCTGCCTTCTAGTGAAGAAAAATATGGGCCCATGTGAAGTTTATCTAAAGCCATGTAAAGTCTGAATTGCCTGACATCTGACGCTTAAAACTATTTCAAGGTAACTTACCTGGTATGCTCAAGTGATGTATTTTTCTCATCAATGACTGCAATAGCCACAAGCTTTCCTGAAATTAAGAATGACACAACCCTCATTTTACAAACTCTTCAACTAGTACTTTTCTGGTTGATAGAGAAAAAAAAATGTTTCTAGAGTTGAATTGCAATTATTGTATCATAAATCAAAATACTATGGCAAACTGTTCTCTAGTCTTCCCATATTCTCCTTTCTAGCCAAACTGACCTACCAGTTTCTTAAAACAGCTGTATCACTTTCACAAAACCATTTCATATGTACTTTGTGGAAGTATTCTGCACATGGAAATATGTAGTCAGTCACTCAAACTCAGACCAAATATTGCTTCCTGAGGAAAATTTTCACTGGCCCTTTCAAAGTACATTAATTTATTCTGAAATATTCTTTATATATGTAGAGTGAATCAGTGAATTATTGAACTGTCAATGATAAATTTCTTCCCTCTTCTCTTCCCTAAAATGTAAATAAAAGTATATTTATAATAATTTACATACTTAAATTGCATTTTTCATGTCACTTACAAATTGACAAAAGTAATTATTTTGTCAAAAGCTAAAACCATAAGGAATAAGTTGACAGAAGATGTTTACTAAAAATTGTTGTAGCTATAAAAGAATGGTATATGACAGTAAGAATATAATTTTTACATGGGCATTCCCTTTGATACCATGGATCACTACTTGCCAGCAGTAATACACAGAACTATCAGAGTCACATTTCCTTAACCCTACGTGGAACATAATCACATCCACCTCTGGTACCCTCTCTAGGAATGCAGCACCATGGTGATGGGGCCGGGGAGCCAGATGCCTGGTATTATGTTCTAGGCACTTCACCAAAGTCCTGGGAGAACAGTGAAGTACCAGCATTTATATGCTGTGTAATTTTATCACAGGAAACTTCAATTTATTTTAGGAAACTAACACCATTTCATAGTTACTGGGAGTTAACTGAGGCAACATACACAAAACTACTGGGATATTATCTGCCTCACAGCAAGAACACAAATGTAGGATTGAGTCAATTTTTCAATAGCACCCCCCACTGAAATGTTGCTTTCCCTAATCCAATCTCTCTTCATACATCTCCAGATTCCACACCATCTAGCCTCTATTTTTAACCTTTTACTGAAAACATTAGTTCAGAACAATCATTTCCCTACTTGGAAAACATAATACTCAGTGTTCTGTTTTCATTGCTTGCTTCTTTAATTTCCAACTGCCTTATGAGTTGTCATTTTCTTTTTTCCTCCAGAATGTCTGCAATATGTGGGTTGTCATACCATGGGCTCCATCATCCCATGGGTTATAAGAAATACAGGTACAGTTTTTCAAGTATTAATTAATAATTATTAAGTGCTAAATAATGCAGCAGACACTAGGCTAGTTGTGGAAGACACAGTGATGAGCAAATGCAGGCACAGCTCTGCACTTGTGAATGCACAGGCAGGTAGGGAGAGAGACATTGTCACCAGATATACCTCCAGTTAAAATAAAGATGTGTTCTGAGAGAAAGAAGCATGGTGCTATACAACAGTATTTCAGAATAAATTAATGTAGTTTGGGGGGGCCCATGAAGATTTGCGTAAGGAAGCAAAAGCTTATTTCCATCCCACTTAACATACCATTAAGAATGGAAACAAACATGGTAACCATACCCTTCATTTCTCATTTCTAGTGAGCTATAAATGTACAAAACACTTCCTCCTAAAACAGCTTCTTATACTTTTTGCTAACTATGAGACCATATAATTAACCTCATACAGTTCCTACTGTGTAGTCATAAGTGTTTTGACTGTCATTTAACTTCATTTGGTTCACTTCTCCCCTCTCACAAGTAAAAGCAGGCATCACAAGGTTGTAGTAAGTTTTATTTCAGCAAGTGGCCTCCTGCACATAGTTTTTTCGTAACTTAGACTTTCTCATTCCCTTATCATCCACAGTGTCTTACCTGTCACCATCAGTTCTGTTAGTGAACCCTCTATTAGATAATCTTTGACATACATATCAGTCTCTGTTCTTATAAAGCAGAACTAGCATTCAGGTCTACTTTAATTATGAAATAGAGAAGAAGATCCATTTTCTACAGAACCAGGTTTAAGTAATCAATTAATGAAAAATTGTGTAGAACAAAAGAGAATTATACATATGCTACCTGTGTCTCCAAGTTCATACAAGAGGAAGCCATCCATAGTTAGATAATTCTGAAATCTCTCTCTGTTGATCCATGATGACAGATCACCATCTTCGTACTCTTAAAAATAAAACAAACTAAATAAATAATAGTAAAAATACTGTATGATGGTTATAATGTTTTAATCTAATATGTACAAAACACTTGACATAGGATCTTAATTTTTTTTTTTTAATTTTAATTTTCTTTCTCCTTTGTGGTACTGGGCTTTGAATTCAAGGCCTCATGCTTACTAGGTAGGTGCTATCCCACTTGAGCCACTCTGCCAGCCCTTTTCTGTGCTGGATACTTCTTTGGAGATAGGGTCTCATGAACTATTTGCCTGGGCTGGCTTTAAACCATGATCCTCTTGATGTCTGCCTCCTGAATAACTAGGATTACGGGTGTGAGCCATTAGCACCCAGCTAGGATCTTAATTCTAAAACAAGAAGTTTTATTTTTAGTAATCTATTATAAGCAAGCAATCAGATATATAAAAAGAATTAATGTACAAACCAATGTTTTACTATAGCATCATTTAAAATATCAAAAATTAACATAAAGGAAATAATTAAAATGTTCTAAGTCAAAATTGGATAGATGTTTCTATATGTTGGGAAGCACCATTTATAATTTGTTAAAAAAAAGAAAACTAAGGATGAATACTTGTCATACAAATCAATAAGCAGTGATGTCACACTGCAGAAAATAAAGTATGAAAAGGTAGTGACAGAATGACAAAATGAAGGCATGTAACCCTATGTGGGAATCCAGACAATGGCTGTGCAATGATGGTGGCACTATGGCAATTTTTACAAAAATTTCTTTGTTGTGCTCTGACATTTTTCTGTCTTTACCACTTTTTCTCATGACCAACTTAAACACACATATAAAACCACAGTACATTAGCTTTTTTCCAATATACAATACTTTCTGTTAAATAGAAAATATAATACTCAAGAGAAATATTATATCCTGATTAAAAATATAATTTTGAAGTGGATTTGAAAAATTATTACAATCACATGAAAAAGAAGCCAATGTACAGCAAAGGTCTCTAAAGGCCTACCAATATGTCTGGTTGAAGACTGGATTATACTGACTTCTTGGAAGGTGTGCTTTTTCTGTCACTTGCATTGCTAAACAAAACATTTTTAAGTTATCAAACCTATAAAATAATGCAAATCTGAAAGTATTTATGAGTGTGGAGTTACAAATTAGAAAAATAAACCTAAAACTAGAGGTTGATTATTGGGCCACAGTCTTTACTCCATGTTAAAAGCAAATTCTAAAGACTGCTTGCACTAAGCGATAACATTGAAACACTTCACAAAACAAACTAAACTCTTGAGGCCAATGCTTCCAAACTTACTAGCAACAATTAAGTATTAGAATAAATGTCTGAAAAAACGGCCTATAAATACTGTCTACTGCATGCCAGAAAAGCTTGGCCTTTACAGTGCCAGTAGAAACTTCATACATTGCTCCTGTCTCAAGCACAAAAGACACATCTGAAACACGGAGAACTAAGAAGGGCTTCTTTTTTAAGGCAGGCTCCAAGAATACATTTAAATCTAAATAGATATGACTGGGCTTTTTGCTATAAAAAACAAGTGGCTCTCCGAGTTGTTATGGACAGAATAAGAGATCTAAAGGTAGAACCTTGACACCACTGACTACCTTTTTAAAGTTGGAAAAAAAAGTCTCTTACTTCTTTTTCTTCATCTGTAAAACAGTAAGAATATTGGCCTAAAATAACTATTTTGATGACAACATACATTAAGTGCTTATCACATAAGGAACATAGTCACAAGAAGCAGGTGGGAAGAACAGATGTAGACGTGATTACTGTCCATCTCACTCTACATATACAGGTTTCTCTTCAGTTCCTCTTTAGGCTTGATGTCTCATACAAACATCCAATGAATGAACATATGAATGTAGCTACTATTTAACTATATCATACCTCATCTAACATGCTCAGTTATTACTGTTGCAATCTGAGGACAATTCACCTATCTGCCATACTACCTACCTCACAGATTACTTTGAGGATAAAATAAGTAAAGTAGGTAAGAAAGTACACCTGCTGTATAGTGGCAGCATAAATGGTAGTTATTATTCCATAGCAAGATACTAAATTCAATTCTTATATTTCTGAAAGACAATGAAGATTAGAAATGCTTAGTTCTTACACGACTGACAACAAAAGTATTACTTTCACTTTTAATCAAAACATCAAAATGTTTTTATTGGACATTCTTCTGTTCATTTAAATTTAGTAATTCAAACTCTACAGCTCCTAAGTCATTCTTTCTTTTCTGATAGAATTCAATTCTGTAGAATAAAAAAATAACTATATTCTAGAATGCTCCTGCAGTTAATGGAATGTTCCACATCTGTGGTCTTTCACAGTACTCATAAGCCACATATGGCCACCGGCTAGTAAGAATGAGAAATGTTATCTTTGTGTATTAGATTTTCACTTAGAATGTTACTGAGACTCCCAGTAGGTGAGACTTTGCATTCATCTTCACTGTCCTGTCCAACAGATGTCAAGTTCCCCCGCTCCCTCTAGAAATTTAAAGTAGCTCATGATCTGCCTGTGACTTCGCTTCACTGCCCTGGGAGCCCTGGTTCCCTTCTTGGGAACCCTGAGAGTAGGAATTTGATGTTATTAGCGAACTAGTAACAGTTTTAGGTGTTCTGACAGCATGTGGTAATCTAAAAATAAAAATCTGCATTTGTAGAGAAGTATAATGAAGTACATAGTGATGAAATGTCACTGGGGTTTGCTTTAAGATGCTCCAAAAAAGGGGGAAAAAAAAGAAAAAAAAAGAGCTGAAGCAAATGCGCTAAGATTTTGGTAACTGTTTAAACTTAGTGATATTATATCATTCTCTTTATGATGTATGTTTGATATCAAAATAAAAAATCTATAGCAGGAACGCATATTTGCTTTGATGTAGTTTATCTGACAGAGGGAGAGATGTAGCTAGGGCAGGATGCATGGAAATGTCACACTTGAAGATATTTTATTCCTTCATCTTTGTATATGTATGAAATGTTAGATTATCTTTTAAAATTTAATTCTGAACATTTTAATGCACAAGTTTTAATTTTCAAAAAGGCAGATTTAAAAAATACACTAGACAACACTTGAATAATATACTTTTTATAGAAAAACTACCATTGAAGGGTTAAAAAAAATCATCATCACTTGACTAAAGGCAATTGTAAGCAATAGTAGCATTTGCAGAATCTTTAATAAACACCCCCTGTAACAGACATAGCATTTTAATTTTAAAGGATTTTACATGATATAAACTCTGGAACTTACCATCATAAACAAAGTAAGTTCTATCTTTGAAAACAAGCACAGCAGGCATCTCTTTCAGTGTCACATACTGTAAAACATTAGAAGTTTAAGCAACTTTTATCACTTGAAATTTTTAATTAGTAGCTATGATTTAAAAACTATAGAAGTATACCAGAAAAACACATGCACACACTCACACAAACAAGAAGAATAGAAAATGAATAAGAAAAAGAGTACAGCCAACCTCAAGCTCGTCTAAAGACTGTATATAGAAGTCTGGCACACGGTCCTGTTTGCCATAGTAAAACTCATAGGATATTCACAGAGCTGACAACAGATCTAAAGTCATCATTCTGAGAAGCACACAGCCATTTTGGAAGCAGAAAGCAGGACCAAGGCCTCAATCAGTGTGTCTAGGGTTGACACATCCCATCCCTTACCAGCTACACGATAAGGAGCCAAACACTTTAGCTAGGGGTGTCTGCTGCATCCTCCCATGACAAAAGGACATTGAGAACGCCTACCTCACAGGGTAGTTATGAGTATATTAGATAACATGGGAACTTCTTTACAAACAACTTTCAACTTTATTAAGAAAGGATTCATTTAGAAAATACCTGCTTCCCTCCATTTTGTACTTATTCTAAACTACATGAGAATGGCAATAATGGAAACAACAATAAAGAGGCAGGAATTATCTCAGGACAGAGAAAATGAAACAGAAATGATGTGCTTGCATTAGCACTAAAACAAATGATAGAGCACCAAGAAAAGAACTACATAGGGCTTAGGTAAGGTTCTGTGAACAAGTATGACTCCATTTACTTGCTCTTGGCAACTCATCCCCAAAGATCTTGGGAGGTACTTTTCAACATTAAGCTCCTTGCCTTTCAAAGATATCTCTAGTGGACCTTCCTAGAAGAATGCTACACAGTCTGAAGATGTGCACTGATCATCTAGTTCCACCTACTTCCAATCTCTGTGTCCCTTTAAGCTCATTACCTCATCTCAATGTCATCTATTTACATGCCATTTTTCTCAGTCATCTTTGAGTATTCTTAAGTTAAAAATGTCTTAATTCACCTCTGTGTTCTCTTACTGCATTTACTGGAGTTTTCATAAATCCTAGTTGTAAAACTGATGGAATTTTGAACGAGCAACATTAATATTCAAAGTAATAAAAAACCACTAAATTATGGACTTTATACTTTGAGAATTCTCTACTATAGTAAAATTCCCATATTATTTTGAAATATTATTTTTTCTAGCAGATTTTTACAACTACATGTACAAGACCTAAAGAAAGGATGAAAAATACGGAATTAAAATGCTCAAAGAAACTACTTGAGAAGGCTAATAATAAAAGTACTGCACAACCGTGTTTGCCCATGTGGCAAGTGCCACTTATACCCATTCCGAGCTTCTGGGGTCTAGGGATCCAGACTAAGACACCCCATTATTACAGGAAGAGTCATATGGTGTCAGCACCTAGAACTGAGCAGACCCATGGCACACTCTAAGTGAAACGGCCTGCAAGGCTTTGCAGATGAGGGCCTACAATGAATTCTCAGCTCTGTCTAATACAAAAATGTAGTCCACTGGACTGAAGAGACACAAAAGTATTACAAATTCTACTTCTAGTTGCTTCAGGCCTTATGTCACATGTTGGAATTACACAATAGTGGTAACCTTGGGGATTACTTGTTTGAGATCTGATAGTAAACATGGCCTTCTTCCAGACCATATTTCCTTTCCCGCCAAAAGTAGATAGATAAATACAAGATACCCCACAAAATAATTTATCTCACACCAAACTAAAGAAAACTGAAGTGGGTTTTTAACCAAAAATTGTTTGAGGTTCTCTAACAAAGTTGAAAACCATTTCAGAACACATATTTATAAGATAAATATCTATATACATATTGCAGGAAACATTAAACATACATTCAAGGTAAGACCATAATAATCTTCCTCATAAAAATATTTAAGCACTAGCCAGAGTGGTGGTATATGCCTGTAATACCAGTTACTGGGGAGGTGAAGGTTCGATTAAACCTAAAAGAAGAGCCCTGGTGCTTTTCCTTCAGTTTTCCTTGTGTTATTGTCAAATCTCTCAGGTTCCCTGCTTATTAAAAATTATCTAGGGAGAAGTCCATACTTGTGGTCTCTGCTTTCTTGCTTGCCATAGGTGGCTCTTAAGTGACATCAAGGCATCTGTCCCCACTACGCCTCTCAAAACCACCACCAACCTCTGTAAGAACAAACACCGTGACTGCTCTTCTTTTCCTCACCTTGATCATGACATAAGCATCGGCCATACCTGGCTGCTCCTTTTCTAAACACTTTCTAAATTTTAGCTTTTCACTCATCTTGATTGCCTACTGCATTATTTCTTCTCATTTTCCTATGCTGTCTTCAGGTTCTAGGCCCTTTAATTTCTTAAAACAAAACAAAAAAAAACAAAAAAAAAAACTACATGCCATGCCCAAAACATTTTCTCCCGCAATCTTCTTTTTTGTGGTACTGGTCTTCAACCCAGGCCCTTGCACATGCTATGGAGATGCTTGAACACTCGACCCATGCCACCAGCCCTTTTGTTTGTATTTTGTTTTTTGAGACAGGGTCTTATTAATTTTGTCTAGGCTGGTCCTGAACCTGAAATCCTCCTGAGGAG